GGTGGAGAGTGGGTGGGTCTGGGAGCTCTATACGCTGTCAAATTTAGCCGGCGTCATAGTTTCAGTAGCCAAGTGAATATTATAGCTTTCTTTGCGGTGGTACACCTCACTCTAAAAGAGTCAGGGGATAATACCTTTCTGAGATCCAATATTATCATATGACACCATTTGGGACGACGTTCGGTCCAAAATAGCCCTGTGTGAACAGAGCTGAAGAGAATTATGTCAGCGAGTTTCGTCTTGTCTGTGCTCGCCGCAGCAAACTACTGTGTCTGTAAATACAAACAACTATATAGAAGGCGCCTCTTTGATGACAAACATACCAAGCAGACGATATAATTATCACGTGGCCCGAGCCGCAAGATTGATAACCCAATGAAAGTTGAAGAAAGGAAACATCTACGTTAAAGCAGGCAAGGAAGAGAAAGAGACATTTACGCTTTTCGCTTGACACGGAGATTGTACATTACTTTGAGATGAACCACGTTAATCTTTGGTGTCTCTTCACCTTGAAGCTACCGCATAGATGAAGAGAAGACTGAAATTATGAGTTAGCTACATGTACCTCAGAATGATGAGACAGAGAAATTATTCTGAAAAATTTCTTTTTCTGTATGATTGGCGAAAGCAGTAGTTATGCAAGTATGGAATATGGCTACCTAAATTGCAGTAGTGAGTGTATTGCGCTGAAGCGGTCGTTTTAAGAGAAAAAACTTGAATTGTTTACTCGACAAGATGTGTTATTTGGTTGGCAAAAAGGGAAGATGAATTCGAATGAAAAAGAAAGACTCTGATATGCGACTGTAGGTAATAATAATAATACATAAAGCGGTCTATAGATTCACTAATACTTTCATTTGTCTATTTATTTTCTGTGTTTTAGAAAAATTCCATTACTCTATCTATCAAGAAGTGTGTAGCATGAAAGATCCAAGAGAAAAGATTCGAAATCATTTGTTGAGCTGTATGGAGTTGCTTTAAATCACCTTCGTCTATATTGTTTCTTCTTACTGGTTGACTTTAAAATTACAAACAAGAATTATGTATTCAAATTAGACAATTTTGGTATGATAATCATTGTTGATCTCCTGCATTAGGTTATTTGTTCTGAGGGAATTAGAACTAATGGAAGTGTATATAACTATTTTTTTCATTTGATTAGCTACTTGCATAATTGTTTGTTTGCCAGTCTGCCTGGACGTTTCTTCTTTTATTCCCGATTTTAAACTTACTATACATACACATTCATTCATTTATTCGGGCCTAAACGTTTTTAAACTTGAACGTGACTTTCACCATCATTGACCTGTGCATATATATAAGTGGAATTCTTGAAAGATAGCAACAACAATAGTCTGACTTGCAGCTAGGCAATGTCTTATCACTAGATGAAATTTAGGCCACTTCTTCCAACTGCGATGTATATGGTGTCGCCAGTCGCCATGACGCGCACATCCAAGAGCCAGAACATCTTTACGTCCTTAATTAATTGCATTTTCATGTTTTTCGACCCTCATCTCCATTCATGGGCCATTTGTCTAAAAATCGGGCTTGCTCATTGGGTTTGTGACCCAAAATTTCCAGCGTGTGCTGGCAACGCAACCCATTCAAAGGCTGTGACGGCCACGGAAATAAAAAACCGTTCTGCTGGCGGTTCACTCCAGTCTGCTTCTTGCTCTGGGGTGCACTTCGGACGAAATAAACCAGAGACTAATGGGGACAAGGGATCGGAATTAAGCCGTGATAAACATCCACGTCAGGACTATCGTATATCTCCTTAACGATAATGTCATCTTAATGTAATTTTGATGTTGAAAGAGACAAGGAGCACCATTTCAGTGATATATTGCTCGCATGGCGTGGGGATTTTGGCAATAATTTGACATATTGATGGGGCATATTTTTTGATGATGTATTTAAGACGAAATTGGGGATATTAATATGCGATGGTTGTTTGTACAGTTACATAATGACAGAATGTGTTTTTATTTGACGGTGATGTTGCTATTATTAATAGTACCATTATGATCACAACAAATTGTGTTTGCTATTTTAGTTGATGTTAATCATTAAAGCGGGAATCATTTGTGTTACGTTCACTGTGTGTGTGCGTGTGTGTGTGTGTGTGTGTGCATACGTGTGTTCGTGTACATATGTGTATATGCATGTATGTACATGTATGTGTATGTTTATGTGTATGTGTGTGTTCATGTGTATGTTAGCACATGCACGTGTGCGTGTGCATGTCTGTATGCTTATTTTGAAATGCTTCAGCATTTTTTTCTGCCTGATTGTAGCCATGTATACTCATTCTTTTCTAGTAATTGTTTGACGGCATTTTCTTCCTATTCTTCTGTATCTTCTTCTGCTTATTATTATTGTGCCGAAATACATCTAGATGCAGGACGAAAAAAGTGATTGGAAATTGTCGACAAGTGATTAATTTTATACATTAGGAATCAATTACAATAGACATCTATCGAGTCCACGCTAGGAGCTGTGAACCTATGGAGCCATAATGTGGTAAAAATGCATATAATATATACAATTCATCATTCACGTTACGTGTGCATACGTAAGTGTTGGCGTATTTGTGCGCGTATGCGAGTGTGCGTGAAAGTTACAATGTACCAATGTATTCATTTAAGTTTATGTGTTTTAAATTTGGTGTAAAAGATCATCCCAGAGAGCTTGAATACGTACATGTAGTTGAGATAACCAAGAATCCATATGATGTATAAGAGAAGAGTTGCGTATCGGTTGGTTTTATATGTTTAATGTTTGTCACTGAATAGAAAAAAAAGCTACACGTGTCACTGACGAAACTAAAATTGTATTTACGTCATATGACTCTGGCTTTTCCCTGATCACGTGCTTGGTCATGTGATTCAAATCGCGGGCGTGGCCAGACTTTTTCTAGTGATCACCACCAGCTTCATATATAGTCGCCAAGTGTAGAAGATGAAAACAACGCGCTTGACCCTTGCTCTTTAACAACACGCTCGCATGCTGAAAGAAAATCAAAAGATGATTAGAACTCAAATTAAACCATAAAATTCTCATTACTTGGCATCGGTTGGTCGGGTAGCAATCGGTTTGGAGACAGATTGCGCATCAGCATAAAACACTTTTGTCAAAGTCGCCAAACAATAAACAGCTAGCTAAGGCAAGCCAAGTCGATGGATGTATTTTAATAATACTTTTAAAGGGACAGAATATTTACCTGCTTGTCACCGGAGGCGGATTGGTGACATTTATGACCGACGTATTCTTTGAACACTGTGCGTCGTAAAGACAGAATAAGCCCCACTTGCTGTCATTTTTTAACTTGGCAAAGAGAGAGATTAGGAGCGTAAACTATGCATATTATTCCCCTGACGTAATATTTAGAAAAAGTTCTGTTTATGTCATAAGTATATATGACTTATATTTTTTATACAAGATTCTGATGTTGTAAAAGGAGAAAGAGAGCGTTTGAAGACATTTGCTTCATGTGTGTGAAAAAGAAAGACCTGAAATGTGGAGCGAAAGTCATATTTGGTAGCCTTTTGGTATATTCATTATGTATGAGGAAAATTAAAGAATCATCGGCATCTCCTTCTAGTAAAAGTCTCCTTGATGTTCACATTACAGTTTCGTCGCAGTTTTCACACACTAGAATACACATCCTACGTCATCGGCCTAACTTCCGGTGAATAAACTGTCACAGACATGCTTCCGGCCATACAAAATTATTAATAGTTGATGGGTCTTATTACCCGGTAATTAAAGCTTGATCCGTTTTGTTTGTCTTTGGTAATCTCCCTCTCTTAGCCGGAGGTCACAGCATGACTCTGCTTGAAAAAAATTCTTACTACTGGCACACCGTAGAAAGCTCCTCTCACGAACGTTATGATCAGGCCGTGGTTCAACTTGGTATGCTTAACAATGGCACTTAGAAAGCAATTACATATCAGTTAATACTGCGGGGCGGCGAGGTGGCGTTCCCTACCTGAGAGGTATCCTTCGTCAACAGAGTTCCCTTGAGAAGAGGGCTGGGTTGCAGGTTTTAATGCGTTTTTTTTAATCACCATTCTCTCTCTCTCTCTCTCTCTCTCTCTCTCTCTCTCTCTCTCTCTCTCTCCATACGTTAGAAGGTGATGTGCCGATTAACTTAGTAGCATTTTTATCAAATAAATTGAATTGAAAGTAGTCATGTCACTATCAATAAACAGCAATATATTTGCCTTAATTTGCATATTAGATTTATTCATATATTGGCGTCAGCAAAATTCTGTATCTCCGTTTTTTACTGACACAATAACGTGACTGCCTGCAATAGCTCCAAGGAAAAACTTTACGAGTTTCTGCATTTCGTATCAAAGCAAGCTTATCAATAAAAAACGATGGGATATGGAGGATGGGGATCACAGCTCATTGGTTAGGTGCTCTATTGCAATGCCGACCATACAAACTTGGCAACCAATCCACAAAGACTGCACAACCTCACTTTGATCCAAGGTCACAAGGTCAAAAACTTGGCATTGGGTTGAGGCTAGGTATCTTTTCTTACCGACACAGGGTCGGTAAATAATTCGTAACCAGTCATAGGTATGGGTGACATTTTAATGCTCAAATATAGAATATATATGTCATTAATACACTGCTGATTCGTTCAGAATTCATCAGATGGCGTAACATTATGATGTCGTGACGTGTCAAAAATATTTTAGTGACGAAACAATGACGTATTACACGTCATGGTTTATCATTTTTTTTAACAATAAATTATACTTTGCTTCTCGAATGCAAAACTGGAAGCAATAACAATAAATGAAAAAAAAAACAACATGAAAACATATTCTGCAAAATGACTTTATTAGTGAAGGTGAAGAAGGCAAGGCCGATTTATGTGACACAAGTTGGGTATGTAGCAATTTATGGCAAACCACGTACCTTAACTTGAGTCCAGGCTGTGACTTTGAAATAACTCGTCGATGAATCTGCGTATAGGACTAGCACACATTGTGCAGTGCCGTGAGACACGTTGAATGTCAACAGCCTCGGTTGTACTAAAGCTACCACATTGCTGGCAAGTCACGACAGTTTACTCTCGAGCAGCATGTTGCCAGCACCACAATAAACTTGAAGCACTCGCGCCAGAGAACACAGGAGGCAATGCTGTTTTGATGTGACACTGTCATCGTTGAGGGTTTTAAGGTAGGTACTTTAATACCATAGGTAAAATGCCCTTCAAGAGACTGATATAAGTAGGAGTTTTGTTTTTTGGAATATCTTGTGACTTTTTAGCTTATGAGTTGTTTTATTCGAACGAAATATGGCAATTTCAGTCAATGTTAGAAAGAAGCACCTATTTATTCAAACAAGAAGTATAAATCAAATATTTAGTGTTAAATTTCTGGCTTAATGCTTGATTTGCCATATAGTATTCAGAATATATATTAATAAGATAAAGAATGTAGCCATTTCATTTTGCAATATTTGTATTGCAATAATCAATTATATCATATAAACACAGATCATTGCATTATTTGTAATATATATTCGTCCTACATTTCAATTATTTCAAGAACGAAATATGATAAACAAACCCAATAAACAAGTAGTTTGATACATGCAGATTGTTTCATTTAATGTCATAACGCAACAAAATAAAGTTGGCATCCCTAAACCAGCTGGTAAACATCAAATAGATGATTACGATTACAATCAAAGTAGCGCGTGTAACGTTTAAAGATAGTCATAAAGCATTGACATCTGCGACATTTTGTACTTGGTAGTGTGGGCCACGCAACATAAATTTATATAGGCGATATCTACTTAGTATTGACGAGCAGTAGTGGCTGGCACAGACAGGGGTGCGGAAGATATGAATAATTAAGTCAACTTAGCGTGTGTTCTGTAGAGAATGAAAGTGATCAAGCGCAATTTAAAGTTAAAATATGAAAGAAAGGAAAATTAAAAATGAAAAAAAATAACGTGTGGAAGATTATGAGACCTAATAAGCCAGTTAATGCATGGTTTGAAAAATTTATCGACCAAAAAATAATTCCTTACGAGATAACATACTGGGACATTGTAGCTACCTACCCCTTTGAATGCACTATGGTCAAATCTATGCCCAGTGAGGGAAGTTGCAAATGATGTGAGTTTTAATTTTTAGTGTTTGAGATGGTAAGATAAACTTGTATACTGTGACATTGATGCAGCTTCAGCGCTGAGGGACGTAGTCTATAAAAGCAAAACACAAACGCTGGCGTTTTGCAAGCTGGCTAACTCCCCACAGATGAAGAAGTACTAAACTTGGCTCTCCGAAACTCTCCTAACTAACGTGTCTCGAGCTATTAATTATTGATCATCACCTCTATTCAGACGTGGAAATACCACGCGAGTACAAAGTCTGCGGCATCTTGGTCTTTCACTTGCTCTCAAACGACCAAGTTGTGCTCATGGCATGATTTGCATGCTCTGTAGTGCAACATGCCTCCGGACAGAGTGTCATCACTCATATTTATATACTTAATGACCTGGACGCCGCCACGGCTGCTACTGCGTTTATTGTTTAGCACTCAAGCTGCAGCACGTAGCCGAAGATTTTCAAACGTACAAGAAGGACTGCGTTTTAATAAAGCAGTCAATCGTATTGTTTCTCGTTTTTTGCAAACTGTGTGTGTGTGTGTGTGTGTGTGTGTGTGTGTGTTTGTGTGTGTGTGTGTGGTGTGTGCGTGTGCTTGTTTTCGGCAGGGTGTTGGCGCTTCCCGCACCATGAACAAGTTACACCAAACAAATAGGTGCGCATCATACAGACATGTGGTATGTGACTATTTGGCCGACATACCGGGCACAGGTAGACAGCTAATCATAGACAAAAAAGACAGAGAGATGGACAGACAGAGAAACAGACAGACAGACTGACAGACACACCGACAGACAGTCAAAAAGGCTGATACAACTGTACTAATAGATAAACAGTCTGGCTAGTAGGGGTTAACAGGCGGGCAAGCAGGTAATCAGTTAAACAGGAAGGGAGGGAGGAAGGCAGGTAGGTACAGTAGGTACATGTAGGTAAGTAGGTAGGTAGGTAGGTTAGCAGATAGGTAGATAGATCTTTGGATAAGCAAGCAGACAGGCAGTTAAACAGGGAAGGAGGGAAGGAAGGAGGGACAAAGGCAGGCAGGTAGCTAGGTAGGTAGGTAAGTAGGCAGGTTAGCAGATAGGTAGACCTTTGGACAAAGGCAGGCAGGCAGTTAAACAGGGAGGGAGGCAGGCAGGAAGCTAGGTAGTTTGTTTGGTAGGTAGGTTAACAGATAGGTAGATAGACCTTTGGGCAAGCAAGCAGACAGACAGTTTAACAGGGAGGGAGGGAGAGAGGCAGGCGTTCAGGCAGGAAGCTAGGTAGTTTGGTTGGTAGGTAGGTTACCAGATAGGTAGATGGACCTTTGAACAAGCAGGTAGGAAGTCAGTTATGAAGGCAGACCTGCTGGGAGACAGAGAAGCGATTAAAACTAAGGCGGGCTGAAGACAGAATCCCTGACAAAGAGCAGACACTGAAGACTATTACTTTTCAGCGATAAGTGAATTATGGTTTGATATTTTTATGGTATCATTGTATGATGTTCACACTAGTACATCAATTATTTGCATATAAAGTGCCAACGTTATACGTGTCTGGCACATGCACTATAAAGATATATTGGTACGCAGCGCGGAAGAACTTATCAATATTAGTGATATTCAATATAATCGATATATGTAGGCAACGTTACGTCGTTTTAGTTAAAGGGATGACAAATCTTCTTTTTGGCGGGAAAAGTGCCATAAAACGAATTTTGCTGGGGTAAACGACAATTATGCCATACTTACCAATGGTGAATGAATCTTTACCGACATTCAAAGTTAGTCGATTGTTTTTTAAAAAGAGGATGTTTTCGTATTAATGTCTTAAGATGGTTTAGCCATCACTGGCGATGCCTTATCTCGCGATATCCATGTATTAACCGCCCCCTTTGTTTGGTAAAATGCTATTGATAAATTTTAATATGTTGCTTAAAATGCATTTATTGTGATATTTTGAATCTCATAAGAAGAATTGCCATCCCTTTAATCTAAGGCGGGCTAATGAGATATTCTGCACAAAATTTGCCTTGTGATAAAGAGAAGTGTTCGCAAAACAGATATATTTATCTTATAACACACCAACCTATTTGACAAACGTCTAAATGTTCGCAATTGCGATATTCTGTATGGTCTGTTTCCCAACCTATTCATTTTTGGACATACGCATAAGCATTCAACTAAAAGATATTGGCAAACACTATGAAAGTCATTAGATTCTTTGTTTATACAAAAGGAAGGTGTAACGTCTTGGTTTGATTCTGATATTTTTGATACGCTGTCCTTTAATTATAGTATATAACTTGGCAAGATAGATTTGCATTGTTTTTTGAAAAGTTATTTGAAACCATTATGTTGCAAAATTCTTCACTTTTTTTCATTTAAGACTATAACAGATACCACAATCATATTTGGTTGGCTGTAAGAAACTTCAACTATTACTAGAATATTTTGCTAAGAATCGTATGATATGTCTTCTAGAAACTTTTCTAGAAGAAAAGTAGAAGAGTGGGTGTCGAGCAATCCAAACCGGCCACTATTGTTTTCAGTTGGTCAGGTGATAGGATTTGACTCATTTGCCAAAAATATCGTCACTCAGTACACGGGTGTTACTAAAACCTACGCAAAAGGGTTGGAAAACAACATACACGTGAGCTTACAAAGTTAAGCAAGTGCATTTCTATTAGCAGTTGACATTGGCTTTTTTGTTCGCCGTTCACATAACCTCCAGAACGTTACCAGATAGTTCAAAGCTACTCAGTTTGGCCACAGTGTGCGGAATGTACAAAAGCTTGCCATAAATAAAAGAGGTAAAGCTTTGATTTTTCCTTTTGACCGTTCTGTTTATTTCAGTCGCGTCGCTTTGTCTGTCTGTGGAAACAGTTCATCAGGTACAAACGTGGATAATTTTACAATTTTGGTTTCAATTCTGATTCCATGATTCAAAACTGATCCCGTGATTTATACCTTTCAATGCATCAACAGTTTTAATTAAAAGCATTTTAGGATTGCTCAAAACAACATGGTTTTGAAAAAAAATGAAATAACCAGAATTCATCAGTAATGTTGCAATATAAAGATAGGCCAAATGGCATCAATGTGTCCCTGATATCGGATAATGTCATGCTTAACCCAATGTCTGTATGGAAATAACAGTATGGCTTGTGCTTTAAATGGCAATGTACATGTACGTGTGATTACCACTAGGGGTCATCAATATCAAAGACAATATCTTCATAATTATACATACTACATACATGTAACGTCCGTTTTATTGGGCGTGCCCGTGCCATCAACATATTGAAACTTTGAACGCGTGACATTTTGCTTGTCATTACACTTAATTACCATGATAAGCTGTTACATAAATCTACGATATTAATAGGCATTTATTTTAGATATTGATTTAAGTTTTTATTTGCGCTCAAATAGACAAAAAGAGGTCCGAAATACACCAAAATGTTAATCAGTCATAGTATTTTTCACCCAAACTGCAATCTGTGCATAATCAGTAATAATAAATGTATAAATAAATGAATGAATAAATAAATGAATAAATATGGAATATGTCAAATGCCTTTTTTATTTCCAATTAAAAATTATTACAGCGTCATGTACAAATAAGCCAAAAGTACATGTACTAGTACATGTAGCTTCAAAACACTCCTATTCAAAATGCCTATAATTAGAACTTGAACTTATTTGCTCTAGCAGTTTATACTGCTTAATTTTTCAATACTAGTCCCAAAACAATCAACAGACCTATCCCGTATGACTTGTTTTTCAATTTCGCCTATTCAATCTCACAATTTACTGAAATATGTATAGAAAAGAGGCTCAAATGACTTGAGTAATACCTTGGAGACTATTTTCAATCTAAACATTTTCAAAAGTAGCTCCAAAACACTCAACTACCCTACCCAAAATGTCTCGAATGTTAACTTGAGATAATTTACGCGAAGAAGGAGGAAATAATGCATAACATTTGTCTTTTGATAGAAGCTTTTTTCCTTATTTATATCCATCATGTAGGGTCAATTTAGTCATAACACGGACTTGTCTTACCCTCAATATGCAAATATTCA